TCGTACCCTCTTTAAAGGGACTCAAGACTTAGAACTTAGGGTTTGCTCCGAAGGGAACAACTCAGACAGTGGTTAATTCTGCAGATGACAAGGGTAAATGCAGGCACCAAAGGAAACCTGGATTCCGTCCGTAGGTTTAAGACTCACAGTTCTAGTGGCACGAATTGATGATTTACCTATCTGCTGGGTCTTTGCCGAAGGTTGCAGATATTAAGTCGAAGATTCTGATCCCAGACAACTTTCCCCAATGACCCCCCCCCCCCCCCCTTTTTTTTTATTTTTTTTACCCGTTTCCGATGGAGTTATTAATCCTTAAGAAAATGGGGAATCCTGGGGTTAAGTCGAAGACCTAACCCCGGATCCCCTCTCTTCCTCCCTCCCCTCTGCTTTCTTTTTCCAAATATGAGAAGTAACTCGAGCGATACGTTCCACTCTTTTTTTTTTTTTTTTTTTTTTTGCTGAATGGATGCAGTACAGACATTGAGAAGATAAAAGATAGGAAAGCGGGTAGATATTTCAGAGACTAATATGATCTCGGAAGATAAATTTGAAGGGATTCTTGCGGGTTACACCCTGCTTGCTCCATCATCAGGAAGTATCTCTCTTGGTCAGCTCCGACGGCTTTGACGAAGGGCGGCTGTCGGTGGTCGCAACGGTTAGGCCGATCCCCCTGTGATTTTAGAGCGGCAACTTTGGCGATCCTTACTTGCCGAAGAAATCGGGAAATTCTAAAATTTAGCAGCATAAATAGATTAGGTTGCGATCTTTCTAGTAAAACGTCAAGGAGTCTGGAAGGTAGAGGCTCCTTAGATTTAGTGATGGTCTTCTACGAAGGAAATATCTGAAAGTTACTTAGGCCACGAAAACACGTCAAGTTCTAACTCCGCATCGTACACTATCCGCATATCAGAGGAAGTGTTGGTTGAGGTGGCCTGAGTAAGGATGAAAGCCTCCTTGAAAACCATTCGCATAGGCGTAAAAAGGGGTTTGAAAGAAATACTAGACTAATGCTTTTGCACCTAGATTTCTCCATAGGATGTGGTCGAGCGTCAATGCGAGCAAAACCCTTCTCAATCTTAATCTGGATCAAGGGAGGGAATGGGGAAGGGAAAGTGAGGGCAAGGGAGGGAGTGGGGCATGTTAAAGGACAGTAAAGCCTTAATTATAAATACTCAAGCGTTAATAAAAGTAGAGCCTTTCTTATAACTACTCAAGCGTTAATAAAACAATGGATCTTCTTGGTTTTAAACTGGATCGGAGCAGTGATACTAACAAAAGGGTATCTAGGATAGGGAAGAGAACAAAACTTCCGAGTCTCAACGAAATCTTTTTTTTTTTTTTTTTTACATACACCAATGCTTCAAAGAACAGATATCCAGAGGGAAGGAATGAAAAGAGATTCTACGTAATTTACTTCAAAG